CCAGCCTCATGACAAATCAAAACAATGGGAACAATAGGCCGTGATTCTGTGACATCACAGGGTAGAAGGCACCCTAGATTTATGGTGCCCGACAAGGTCAGTGGACAAACTAGACCATCTACCACCCCGGGCCGGTGGGACGCTTGGCGAACCATTTCCTTACCCGAACTTGGTACATGTAAGGTAACCCCAACCCCGGCCGGCATGAGGCTTGGCGGACTGCTTCCTCACCCGAACTTAGTTCGTGTAGCGGGAATCCCCAACTCCAATCGGGAAACTGGAACTTTCGGATAACTTAAGTTCGCACACCAAGTGGTCCTCTGTAAGTGGTGCTCCATATACTTATTTTGTCCAGGTCTTCTTGAAGGGCATGACAATCATCTAAATTTCTTATCCTTCCTATTATCTTAGCATCATCAGCAAACATGTTCATATAATTCTGTATACCAACTGGTAGATCATTTATGTACACAATAAACATTACTGGTGCAAGAACTGAACCCTGTGGTACTCCACTTGTGACATTTCTCCAGTCCAATACATTGCCTCTGATTACTGCCCTCATTTTTCTATTCATCAGAAAATTTTTCATCCATATTAGAAGCTTACCTGTCACCCCTCCAATATTTTCCAGTTTCCAGAACAACCTCTTATGTGAAACTCTGTCGAAAGCCTTTTTTAGGTCCAGATAGATGCAGTCAACCCAACCATCTCTTTCCTGTAATATCTCTGTGGCTCGATCATAGAAACTGAGTAAATTCGATACACAGGATCTTCCAGATCGAAAACCATACTGTCTGTCTGATATTATATCATTTCTCTCCAGGTGTTCTACCCATTTAGTTTTGATTAGTTTTTCCAATACTTTCACTATTACACTTGTCAATGATACAGGTCTATAATTGAGGGGGTCTTCCCTGCTGCCACTTTTGTAGATTGGAACTGTTAGCCTGTTTCCACCCGTCTGCTACGATTCCTGTACACAGGGATGCCTGAAAGATCAGGTGAAGTGGAACGCTGAGCTCAGATGCACATTCTCTCAGAACCCATGGTGAAACGCCATCTGGGCCAGCTGCTTTGTTCTTACTAAGCTCCTTTAGCATATTTTCCACTTCATCTCTAGACACCTCTATTCGCTCTATGTTGTTCTCTGGAATTCTTATTGTGTCTGGTTCTCTGAAGATTTCATTTTGTACAAACACACTTTGGAACTTTTTATATAATGTTTCACACATTTCCTTTTCATTTTCCGTGAATCTGTTTCCCATTTTCAACCTCTGGATATTATCCTTTACCTGCAATTTGTTGTTTATGAATTTGTAGAATAGGCCCGGTTCTGTTTTACATTTATCCGCTATCCCTTTTTCAAAATTTCTTTCTGCCTCTCGCCTTACTGCCGTATAGTTGTTTCTCGCATCTTTGTATCGCTGGTATGTTTGGGGGTTTGGCCTCTTCCTGTACTGATTTCATTTTTGTGTCTTTTGGTCTCTTGCCCTCTCACAATTTCTGTCGAACCAATCCTGTTTTCTGGCCCTGCCTCTCTGTTTTGGTATGTGTGTGTGTGTGTGTGTGTGTGTGTGTGTGTGTGTGTGTGTGTGTGTGTATATATATATATATATATATATATATATATATATATATATATATATATATATATAACTGAAAACTCACACCCTAGAAGTGACTCGAACCCATACTCCCAGGAGCAACGCAACTGGTATGTACAAGATGCCTTAATCCACTTGACCATCACGACCGGACATAATGAGGTTATAGCCGAGGCTATTTGAACCACCCACCGCCGGCACTCGGATAGTAATCATGGGCATAGCATTTTACCAAATCACCTCATTCTTTGGGGCACACGTGAGGAACACAAATGCGAACAAGCCTGAATGGTCCCAGGACAATATGCAACTGAAAACTCACACCCCAGAAGTGACTCGAACCCATACTCCCAGGAGCAACGCAACTGGTATGTACAAGACGCCTTAATCCACTGACCATCATGACCGGACATAATGAGGTGATAGCCGAGGCTATTTGAACCACCCCACCGCCGGCACTCGGATAGTAATCATGGGCATAGCATTTTACCAAATCACCTCATTCTTTGGGGCACACGTGAGGAACACAAATGCGAACAAGCCTGAATGGTCCCCAGGACAATATGCAACTGAAAACTCACACCCCAGAAGTGACTCGAACCCATACTCCCAGGAGCAACGCAACTGGTATGTACAAGACGCCTTAATCCACTTGACCATCACGACCGGACATAATGAGGTGATAGCCGAGGCTATTTGAACCACCCCACCGCCGGCACTCGGATAGTAATCTTGGGCATAGCATTTTACCAAATCACCTCATTCTTTGGGGCACACGTGAGGAACACAAATGCGAACAAGCCTGAATGGTCCCCAGGACAATATGCAACAGAAAACTCGCATATATATATATATATATATATATATATATATATATATATATATATATATATATATAATATATATATATATATATATACACACACACACACACACACACACACACACACACACACACACACACACACACACACACACACACACACACACAGCAGCACATATCAAGCGGATAACATCAGCGGCATATGCCAGGCTGGCCAACATACGAACGGCATTCAGAAACTTGTGTAAAGAATCATTCAGAACTTTGTATACCACATATGTCAGGCCAATCCTGGAGTATGCAGCCCCAGCATGGAGTCCATATCTAGTCAAGGATAAGACTAAACTGGAAAAGGTTCAAAGGTTTGCCACCAGACTAGTACCCGAGCTGAGAGGTATGAGCTACGAGGAGAGACTACGGGAATTAAACCTCACTTCGCTGGAAGACAGAAGAGTTAGGGGACACTCACTTTCTTGTAAACATATGTTGTTGAATATGACCGAAAAGGTAAGATTAATAATTCTAACCCGAATTTTCTCAATATTTCTTATGTTTTCCTTCACTGTCGGTGGTAATAAAAAAAATAATTCTCCAAAATTCATTTTTTAATTGTCTGACGCCTGAACGCGTTTCGTAATTTGTATTACATTTTAATTTACACACATTGTGTGTAAATTAAGTCTTTGAAAATGTAATATGAATAGGGTATACTTTATAACAAAACTTTACAGTTCTTCCTATACTTCACACATTTTCTTAATGAGGAAGGGACATCCTCTACTGCCTCTACTCACAACTATTTTCTTAGGTTGAACCTTTCCACAGACTTTCTTGGGACCCATGGCATGATAAATAATAATTACTTTTATGTTCAAAAAACAAGAAAGCATAAAACAATGAAATTCTTTACGAGCGCAATCGTCACTAAGCAGGTGGCTCTAGTAAACTGATCCGGTGTCGCCCGTGCCACCAGGAACCACGCGCACGGTCGACTCATACGTGTATCACCAAAGACGCTAGTCGAGGCAAAGGTCATAAGTCGAGTCACATTTTCAGACAAAATTGGTGGTCGTACCTCGAAAAATTCGTAAGTAGGGGCAGTCGTAAGTCGAGGTTCCACTGTACTATCAAACATGATATATTTGTGCGTGTACCCCCTTTCCCCATGATATCATAGTGTGCGCAGTATAGTGTTTTATCTAATATACAATTTGGAAATTGAGCTTTATTGTAATTCAATTAATTGGATTAAAACCCAACACTTATGTATTTTTTAAATTTATGTAAAAACTTACACCAAGTTTTTCGCACTCTCCTGAGTGCCTCGTCAAGATCTGTATGTGTGTGGTTAGAACGAGACTTACATCTCAACGTCTAATGAGGCGGCTATCCTGGGTCCAGTCCTCTTATCCTTCTTGACCGCCTGACCAGATCACCTCTATTCCTGACTGCCAATGTACCTGTATTGATGTCTTCTATTGAACTATAGTTAGGTGTCCTTTCTGTACTCCTGATATGCTGGGAACTGGAGTTGTTATTAATAGTGGTGTTTATCTGGATGTTATCCTTTGTAACCCTCTCTATACCTCAAGGAATGCGGCTAATGGGACTACTGTACTTACATTCATCCATTTATTGAGATCTAATTTTAATTAACTTATAATTATTTTTCTAGTAAATTTACCCTCTGAAATAAAGCTTTTGTTACCAACAAAAGTATTCAGAGTATTTATTTGAATCCCCTTATACTACCCTTCTAGTTCTAATATTATTACTTCTGTAGATTATTTCTCACCAATTAAAATCAATATTGTGATCCTTTTCCTAAGGCATAAAATCATTTTCAGTTACCTATATATTCAATTAGAGAAAGGGTTTGTAAGAATAGAGCAGGAGATGATAGAAACCCGGGAGGCATTTATAAATTTCCTTGTAGAGATTGCAACGAAGTCTATGTTGGGGAAACAGGGCAAAAACTTGTGATCAGAATTGAAGAACATATCTCAATAAATGGATGAATGTAAGTACAGTAGTCCAATTAGCTGCTTTCCTTGGGGTATAAAGAGGATTACGAGGAATAGCATTGAGATGAACCCCTCTTAATTATAATAACTTAAGTTCTCAGAATATTAGGATTACATAAAAGATACATAACCATAATTCAATAGAAGACATAACCGCAGTTGCATCAGCAGTTGGGAATAGAGGTGACTATTGGATCCAATGGAGATTGGATCCAGGGTAGCATCCTTATTAAACGTTGAGATGTAAGTCTCATCCTAACTTTATACTCAGACCTTGACAAAGCCCTCAGGAGGGTGCAAATGACTTGGTGTACTTCTTTATGTAAATTTAAAAATAAACCTAAGTGTAGGTTTTTACCTTATGTTTCTATATCTGTGAGAAGACATTACCATTAGTTATTCAATTAATTGTGCCAGACGACAGGCAGCCAGAGTGTATCTGTACATGTTAGGCTTATATCAAGGCCCCTCCCCTAATTAAGAACAAAGTATTGGGTGCAACCTCACAACAAGCTGACTAACTCCTGGGTACTGACTTATTGCTAGGTAAAGAGTCCATTAGGTGATAAGAAATGCACCCAACCATTTCTGTCCTGCCGGGGATCCAAACCTAGAATTCTTGATCGAGAGTCGAGAACGAACCCACTTGTACTACCAGGACCCTTTGATGAAAATATTGTGCTATCACCATGTCTGTTGGATATCCTAAAGAGGTAATTATGTTATATTGAATTTTGTTTGAGAAAAATGCTTCATCATAAAAGGTAAAGATCTAAAAGTATTTTATTATTTTGTTCTTTTATGAAAGTTAGATAATCCTCATAGACCAAGCAAGACACAGAGAAGCTGTCAGTGTAGAAAACTCAAAATTGTTCATAAATCCAGAAACGTATATTCTGTATTTATTTGAACAAAGATAAAACAAAGTTTTAATTGTGATTTTTTATATTTAAAACTTTCTTTTAGCAATTTATGCAAGTGTGTGGGGGGCATTGATCACAGTGCCCACATGCACTCTGGTTTGTGTGTGGGTGTTTTGTGAAACCCTGGTTAAGCTTCAATGTAAGCCTCAGGAACCCTTGAGAATTCAGTTGAATCCTAGTTGCCATGCTTTTACCATATTGTGGTGGAGTAGTCTTAGTCGTCTGCTTGATAGTACCCAGAGCATAGGTTCGAATCCTCCTCATGGCTCCTACTGATTTCCTCATTGATACATCACGTTAATGTGATTTCTTTGTGTACCATTTTATTGGTAGGAGATATATAAATAAGTTTTAATAAAGAAATTAGAAGCTCAGCAGATACCTATGCAAACTGATATCCATTTTTTATTTACGCCTACTTATGAGTTATACTATACATGATTAGAAATGTGATTATACTATACATGATTAGAAATGTATCACATGAGAATTTATAGTAGCCGCACTGGCTTTTATAATTTTCTCGGTCAGAAATTTGTATTTCTCTAGCCTAGCTTTAACAGTTAGGCTATAATTGTATGACTGGCAGTTAAATTAGTCTCATTGGTATTATATTAGTCTGATGGGCAATTATATTAGCCTGTTAACTATATTAGCCTGAATCTGGCATTTATATTATCCTGAGTCTGGCAATTATAAAATTTGTGAATCTGAAAATTAGCCTAAATATGGCAAATAAAGCTTGAACCTGACACTTATATTGATATGAATGTGACAATTACCGTATATTAGCTTGATCCTAACATTTGTATTAATGTGGCAATTATAAACCAGAACTCTGCATTTATATGAATGTGACTCCAGAATTTGTATTCTAATGTGGAGTACAGTATTTCATTAATGGCTTAATTACTGCTAGCATTTATTTATTTATTTCATCTGTTTAAAAATGTCAGAATCTAACAGTTTATTAATATAAAAGGATGTTTGCTTTAATTTAGTTATTTTAAAATTTTCTGTAAAGGACTAAGTTTGAGTATTGTAATTGGTAGCATGATCATTATAGACCTGTATTACCAGGTATATGAATAGCCTAAATGGTTTTGATTGCTTGTTGTAGTCTTGATGGATGTGAATGGGATATATTTATTATATTAATTTGGGATCAATCATTAGTTTAGATTATAGATAGCATAATGTGTAATAGTTGTTGCTTACTTATAACCTGTTAATTATTATATAGAACTTACTTGGCAATTGTCTTAACATACGAAGTCACTGTCCACTCATTGTAACTTAGTGCTTTCTTTTAATTAGCACATAAATGAGCTTCACATAACATTGTTTATTTACCCTATGACATTACTTTAGTATGTCTCCTGGAATTTGTAATGTCAGAATTTCTAGTTATTAAGGTAATCGAGGAAGCAAAAAAACAGCGTTTAATGTAATGAGAGCATGAAGCTCCCCCGACCTGAACTCCAGAGGCCAGTGCCAACAAGAAAAGAGCCTTAGAAAAACATTCTTGAACCGTAGGGACCACCACAAACTGAGAAGAAAGAAAAGAGAGCACCCGGTCTAAAGACCAGGACAGCTCAGGCGGCACATGAGCAGGCCGGAGGTGAAACAACGCCCGAGAAAGCTTGCAGAATGGAGCAGAAGTGACATCCACCCCAAACACAAGCAGAAGTAGCTCTGCCAGCACCGCATGATATGAAGCGACAATATCCGGTATAAGATGACGGTTCTGAAACGACAAAGAGAGAAAGGACAAAACAACCCGATCAGATATCGAAGACAGCCTATGAAGAGATAAAAAGTCCCGGAAGGATCGCCAGGAAACTTCATACTGCCACCGAGACGAAACTCGCAGGTGGGACACCATCAATGCAACCACCTGATCACCATTCAAGTGGTGATAAATCCACATCAAAAAGACCAGATTCAAAGAGCGGAGGAGAAGATCGAACCAGCCATGTACCAGACTGGACCAATCTGCTGAAAGAGGCGGAGCCATGGGAAAACCCTTGAGTTCAGACACTGAGCAAGCAGTGCCTGAAACCACGTCTGGGCCGGCCACCAAGCGGCCAACAGGACTACCGTCCCCTGGTAAGTCTCCAAATGACCCAGGACTTGGAGCAACAACTGAACTGGTGGGAAGAGGTACAGGAACCCCCACCTCGACCAGTCCAGTTGAAAAGCTTCAACCCCGACGGCCTCACAGTCTGGGTAGGGCGCTGCATATACCGGAAGACACCTCGACCAAGGTGGTGTGAAGAGGTCCATGTCCAGTGCCCGAACATCCATCAGTGGAGTCAATGGAACAAGTTGGAGTCGCCCATCCATTCTGTGCACAGGGGAAATGAAACGGGACAGGCCGTCCACCAGTACGTTGGACACTTCCTGGACGTGAACCGTCAGGAGAGCCAAACCCTGAGAACTTACCAGACGAGTCACCCGAAGCGACCAGCTCCCAAAGAACCAAGGACCGCATCGAACTATGACGGTTCAGACAATGTCTCACAGGGGAGCAGTCTGAATGGAGCCAGATAGTTGATCCGCGAGCGACTCGAACCTTCTGAAGTGAATGCCACACCGCCACAAACTCCCACTCTGTACTGTGAGCCCGATGGAAGGACAGACCCCACCGACGCTGACCGACCTGATGAGCACTTGTCACAAAGCCCCAGCTGAGAGGCGAGGCATCTGTGAACACATCCAGTGAGGGCTCGGGTAGGTGCCGTGGCACAGAACCCCGAAAAACCCGAAGAGGAAACCGGCAACACAGCAGCCAACACAAGGCCCCTGGGTTTCGAACCCAGCAATCATGAAAGCAGCAGAAGGGATGTCCCTGAAGGAACCAGAACAGTTGCCGAAGCCAGATCCGACCCGAAGGGGAAGACCAGCACAGCGAAGTTCAGACTCCCGCACAATTGCTTGAGCAACTGTTGAGTGATCTGGAACTCCTCCAGAAACAACTGAAAGCAGGAAAGCAGTAAATATATTATATTTATTCATTACTAACGTAATGCCAGGAAGCTTTGGGTAGCTTTGAGTAGCTTTGGGTAATTAGATGGACCGCTGGCCACCACACCACAAACAGCAGGAAACACCACAAGGGCACAATATTCAGCAGGCATCTGAGGCCAGAGTGGACAACTGCCCCAGAGTGCTTCAGCCTATGAACTGAGGAGCTGGGTTGCTGGCGCAGAGGTCCGGGGCTTCCCCTCTCAGGAGGGGGAGAGAGAGAGAGAGCTGCGCAGACAAGCGGCGTGGTGGTTAATGTTTGCGTGTTTGCTTATTTTCCTTGTTTCTTTAGGGGAGTTTTGTTTCTCTGTTCGATCTTGGTTTTTTTTTTGCAAGTTTCTATCACATGGGGTTTGCTTTGTGATGCCTACCTTTCCTGGGTGCCTAACCTCGGTCGATGGCAGATAGGAAATACCCCCAAATACAAGGGGGTTTCCATAGGGCATTGCTTCCTGCACCTTTCTGAGGGGGAGCCAGGTTCTGGCTCATGGTCCCCGGTAGGCAAAACTCTAGTGACTGAAGCCCCAGACTAATAAAGTGCATATCAGTCCTATAGCTCCAGGGAGTCAAAGGAGCTCCCAACAGAAAACTCCATAAATTAGCTACTTTATCAGGGACTACTACATTTTAAATAAATTTCTACAAAGAGCAAAAATAGAAAGCATATTATTATTTAGTAAATTAATAGGAAGAAAAAACTAATTTAAAACTTTATTATATCTTAGTTAAAATAAAGATATATTGTTTACTTATGACAAATTTTGAGTTTTCCTACATTGGCAGCTGCTCTAGTTCTATCTTGGTCTATGAGAAGCATTAAACTTTCATAAAAGAACAGAATTTAAAAATACATTCAGATCTTTACCTTTTATGGTGAAGCATTTTCTCTAAATATAGTATAATGTAATTACTTCATTAGGACATCCAACTGACATAGTGATAGCACAATATTTTCATAATGAAGCTCAGTTTCTAAAGTGTGTATTAGATTAAAGGTACAGTTAATTTATTTTGCTAATATGTGCCTCATCATACTTCAATAATGAGAAAATCAGCAGGTGTCGTCAGGAGGATTCGAACCTGCACACTGGGCATTCCCAAGCACATGCTCTAAACACTAGATCACGATATACTACAAGAAATGCAACCTGAGATTCAACTGATGTCCTCTATGGATCCTGAGGCTTTCAATGAAGCTAAATCATGGTTTGACACATTTCCTATATACTGTACTTCAATATTTTCTGAACCATTTTCCACACTCAAAGTGTGTAGCCTATTATCTGAATCTATCATTTTGTTCCTCTTCATAGTTCCAAGATGACTGAATCTGTTCCCACACTCTGGACACTATGATGTTAATCACCTGATTGTACTAACATTTTCTATATTATAAACATGCATCTCAGTGCCAGGACATCCATATGGTCCAAATTTTAAAAGATTTACCCTGAGAACCACTAACGCTAGGGGCTTCAAAAAGGACAGGAAGCCGGTGGCTTGTCAGAGTTTCCCCACATTTGTTCTGATGATTTTTTCAAGCTGGCTTTTAAAATTCAGCAGTTTTTGCATTTACAGCTTTGGCAAGTATTCAGTTCCATGGGTTTATAACCCTGTTGGTGAAAAGCATCTCCTATTTTCTGTCCTACATTGTGGCTTGTTGAGCTTTGAAACCATTTGCTCCCTGTGTGTTACATCTGACCTTTCAAGAAGTTGTCTGGATCAGTATCCTCCAAATAGTTCAGTACTGTATTTTAAGTTTCAATGAGATCCACCCTGTCATGTCTGGTTTGCAGTGGTGACTTGTGGCTGAATAGATTAGATGGACTGCATCACCATCATACAGCATGAAACTTTTATTTTTATTGCTTTTTAATTAATTTTGTTTTCCAAAATTTGGTTATAAATACTGTATATTGAAAATAGCATATAAAGAATTTGTTCTCACCTGCCAGTGAGTATCTGGAGGGCCTTCAGCTCAGTGGCCTCTGGGCGAGCTGCCACTGGTTGTTAGCCCTGTGGCCCTCAGCTATTCCTGGTATGAAAGTTGACTTAGTTCTGGAACGATTTTTGCTGCTCGGTGTTGCGCTTTCTCCAAAGCTGCTATGTCTTTGGTAAAGTGGGAAAATGAAAATTATATTGATGTCTTACAAGAGATCTACATGAACTCCACAAATAGTCATGAAAATGCCAAATGCTTTTTAATATCGAAAAATGCAAGACTGCATGTGCGGCATAACAACTTATATCACAACTACTAGATTAATAACATTACCCTGCAGCAGATTGTTGAAGAAAAGAACCTTGGAGTCAAAATACACCACTCACGGAAAGTTGCACAACAGGTAGCAGCAGCAGCAGCAGTAAAAAAAAGTAAACCAAGCTCTAGGAATAATCAAGCATATCTTTGATTTTAACCTGTGAACAGCAGCTATGGAAAAATAATCATATCTGCCAATGTGCAAAAAATGTAAAAATACACATGGAAAAAATCAGCAATACAAATGGGGGGTACATATGACAAGCCACTGGCTTCCTGTCCTCATCGAGATCACTTGAGTGTTATTGGTCTTTAGGTAAATTCAGGTCTTTCTAAAGATGAGGTCTGCATACTTTGATACAATAATCTATGTGCTTCCTCATACTTCCAAGTTGACTGAATCTCTTCCCACAGTCAACCCTCGTGAGATTAAGTATCGAAATGCACTAACATTTGAGTCTTCATAATGTCCAAGATGACTGAATACCTTCTCACACTCTGGGCAAAGGTGTGGGAAGGTATTCCAAAATCTTTTTTTTTTATGATGAGTACAGTTTGTGTGACAGTTCTCTTAACCCTTAAGTTGCTAAGGGGTCCTGAGGATATTTACACCCCCTGTGCGCAAGAAAAAAAATTCTAAATTTTTTTTTCGTCTTCTAAACATGTTAATTTGTGTCCCCTGAGCACAGGAAAAATAATAAAAAAATTTTTATTGTACTTACCAATGACGTAATTGAGCTGACAAGTTCGCCGATGACGTCACAGAGCATGAGCGCTCAAGGGTGATGCGTCAGGGAGCCGTCATTCACGGCTGCTCAGGAGGCCCGAGTTGCCGCGAATTTATTTTCGCGGCATTATTTACAGTATGGCACATTTTACAATAAGTTTTTTCGCTAGTATTGTTCCAATTATTATCACTAGACGTTGTATTATAATAAAACTGATATAAACTCACTATGTGCTCCCATATTAGTGTCACAAGTATGCCCACCAAAATGGTATAGTTTACAGGAAATATACAATTTTTTTTTTTTTTTTTTTTTAATATA